GGAGAGGAGAGGAGAGGAGAGGAGAGGAGAGGAGAGGAGAGGAGAGGAGAGGAGATGTAATGCAGAAAGGGTCTGGATCTTCTGTATCTGAAAGATTTTTTTTCTTACCTGAAATCAAATTTTGCATGAAAATTCTATCTGTATGGTACATCTTAGACAGAGTTTAAATTCAGTTCACATAGAACAGTGAACTAGCCCAGAAGAGCAAACTAACCAAGAAGAGCAAACTAACCTTGGACAGCAAACTGACCCAGAACAGCACACCAGCCCAGAACAGCACTGCCCTAAGTTAGTCAGGAAGAAAATGCCGATATGAACAGAGACTTTCATTAGACCTTTCAAATGCTACATTTAAAACTTCAGAGAGGTGTATATATGTGCTCCAGAATAAGTTCTTGGATGGACCTGGTCCTGGTATTCTGATTTTTCAAGGCAAAACTGGCAGACTAACTTACAGATGTAGAAAGTAGTGTTTGGGTCTAACTGTGTCTAGTAGTATCTAGAATTGCCTTAAAAATAAGGAGCGCTGGTTCATCATCTTTCTGTGCTGTGGAGATGCACACATAGATATCCAAATGTGTATGAATGTATGTTGCCTGCTGTGGGGTGCAAATCAGTGGTAGGTACCTGTGACAACCCAGGGACATCCCAGTGGGAACAGGCTGAGAAAACATTCAAGCTCTGCTGGGACAGGGGGATAGTTTACAAGAACAAGTGTTATGTGAGCTGAAAATTCTACTCCCTTTTTCCAGGATGCCTAACATTTCTGGTGATTAAGGTAGCCACTGGATGTTATGGCATATGTAATAAGACTCCACATGGGAGTGAGAATCTGTACATGCTCCACGACACCTGAGCTCACTGCTGCACTGAAGCACTGTCCTTGGTTTCTCTCAGATCTGCATCAGTCTTGGCTCATGCACTGCAGTGAAGTGGTTAGGGTAAAAGCTGTGTGATGGGAGAGAAGTTTTACATATGTAGAAGCAGAGAGAAGGAAGGAATTTGGTTTTGTTATATAACAGGTGGTCCAGCTTACTGATGGAAATGTTTTCCTCCTTGAAAGTTCTCAGTGAATATTTTAAATGAGGGCAGTTTAACAGTGTGCTCTGAACAGAAGTTCTTGGTAAAAGGTATTTATACACAGTCTGAAGAGTTGGTTGTCTAACAGAGGGCATTTTTATGGAAGCAGAGATTGGAGTGCTTCTGGCTGAATGTCACAGTCAGACCAATGGTACAAAACCTGTACCCAAGGTTCTTAGAGCTTCCTAATATCTAGAAGGTTCTAAAGGTATCTAGAAAGTTAAAATAAAACTTGAAGCATTTAAGGAACTTTGTCAAGTTTTAGAGAGTGACAGAGAAAAAATCACAGGTCTGGGTTTATTGAGTCACTGAACTTTTTCATATTTGATAAAGTAAAATTCAATAAAGTCACATAAAATGCATGGGGGGGTTGCATTCTTATTACTTATTATTTTTTGCTCAGGGTATTATTTTTTTGTACTTGTACTTTTTACAAGTACATGCTTCACTATTCTGATACCTGTCCAAAGGCACTGTCAGACAAATTTCAGATTGAGCAAATGCTTTTGTTCTTCCTTAACAGTTACTTAGAATTTCTCACTGCTCCTTCACCTGCTTAGAAAAAGGTGAAATGATTTCATGAGTTTGTTGATTTTGAGGTCAATGAGCAATGCCTGAAAGCAGAGCTCAGGCTGCAGGGGTGCTTTGTCTGGTAGCTTGTGCCCCTCAACCTCTTAGGAAACTGCATCTTCTCCTTCTCTCTGTGACACTGGCAAAGCTGATTCAAGCCTTTATTTATACAGCCATAAATAAATAAAGCAAATTGTTAAGCAAACAGCAACTGTTTTATTGTAGTTTGCAATTAGTAGTAAAGGTTTGCCAATTTATGCATCTAGCAAGTAATGATATCAACTAGGAAAAGAGGAATCTCTTCTCACAGGGGAAAACTTCTATCCCTCCCTGTATTCAACATGAACATAAAGAGAGGAAAATTAATCTATAAATAAACCAAATGAACTCATATGCCACAATGCCTTTCACACCAGTTTTAATAATCATGATCAGTGTCACTCAGAAGCTGTTTTAAGAACCAGCTGGGATAAATATCACTTAGCTTTGAATCCAACATCAGTACTAGAATTAGGAAATTGATAATTTTATTCCAGGTGCCAGGTGGCAAAATTTCTTTTCTCCCAGGTATTGATAAATCCCCAGGGCTTACTGCAGGAGACAGCCTGACGTGCACAGTGATTAGCCTTCCTTTGCACTCCCCAGCTCTACAGGCAGCAATGTCAGAGGAGGGGAGATCAGCTAAAGCCAGTCATAGCAATCTGTGGCAATAACAACATGCCAGAACTCTTAAACTGCTGTGAGGGCTGATTTTTCTCCTTCCACCTCTGCTTTTTCTGTCTCTCTGCTGTAGAAATGCACCAGCATTGCACTCTGCTGATAGACTTGAACCTTTCACATCTCCTACACCTCCTAGAATGAGGGAAAGGCATCTGGATTCATAGCACCTCATCTGCAGAGCATTGGCTGCCCAAATGAAGAATAAACAGGTGAATTTGGTGAGTTTCTTGTTCTATTTAAGCGTGTTGAAAAGAAGTAAAAGGATTTTTAAAAAGTTAATTTCAGATGTTGTGATTGCTCTTTCCTAAGTCTCCAGAGTGGTATGGCTAGGAAACTCTGAAAATTTACTTTAATAGCTCTCTGATCCTCTGAGATCAGTTGCAGGCTGGAGTAGAATGACTGCAAAGCTACAAATGCCTGAAAATATCAGTCTTCTTGATTGAAGCAGCATCAGCGTACTAGAGACCTCGTATCATACAACAATTAGCTGTTTATAGATTTGTTGCTCCAGAATGGGCAAACAAAGTGATGAATACAGAAAGGTTTCAAATGTCTTAAATAAATTAGCACTGTCATGGAAGGGAAAAGATGAGATTCAAAACTACCACCCAGTTTAATGTATTACAACTGCATTAATTAATTCATGATGTTTTTAAATTATAGGGACAAAATAAACAAAAGTTACTTTTTTCAGATATGAAAGTCCTGACTTTTCTGTTCTTATTATTCAGTGCCTAATTCTTGTACACAGAGTGTATACACAGAGTGCCATTGTTTTGGTCTTTGTTACCTATAGAATTTGTCTACTTTTTCAGCAGCATTTTTTATATAGGGTAGGAAGTTGATTAAATGACAGTTGGTTTCTGCAACCTGTTCTGGTACCAGTATGCAAATGCATTTCAAGGGATGATACTTAAATCTGTTGAGAATTTTGACCAACCGGAATTGGTTTTGGATGAGTGAGATGTTTTCATCTGGGGTTTTGATTGTTATTGCTTTGGACCTCACAGTTTATTAGACTAAACGGACAAGTGTTTTTAGGTTCAGTAAACCTTTTTATATTATTTGGGTGATAAGAACGTAGAATTTTCTTGCTTTGTAAAATGAATTTTACACAGAACATGTCTTTCTTTGACTAAAACTGTACAAATAAAAGAAATTTTCCCAAAGAAGGCAAATTTGGAAAGGTGCTCTGACTATGGTAAGTGATCTTACTGCTTCCTGAAAGATTAATAGTGAAGTGAAAGGGCTTGCTTCCTCTAATTTCCATATTATGACTTTGGATTAGAGACATTGTAAGTGAGGTAGGTGCTGAGAGATGATGTCTGACAGCAGTGTTATGGATGGGGGCAGAAAGAACTTCTTTGGACAGAGTAGGATTTGAGCAGGTTTAAAAAAAAACATATGGAACAGCCATCACAGCCCTCTGACATAGAACAGTGGGGATCAGCATTTTAGTTTTGTGGCTCTTCGTAAACATACAAGTTGATTTATTGACAGCATTAAGACCTGTCTATCAATGGCTGGAAATGATAGCATTACTTGGAGAAGGGACAGATGAAATGTAAACTGGATTCTCTGGGTCTTTTCCACTACTATTTCTGCTTTAAGAGCAGAAATATTTTGAGTTGCAAAATATGCAGGTCTGTCTTGCTTGTGTGCAGCCTCAGAGGCAGAGATGCAGAGGCTGTCATATTTTAAAGCATAGCAAAGGAGATGAAGACATCCAGGAGTATTTCCCCAGCAAGTGGATAGCCTGATCAAAGGATTTCAGTGTTTCTGAAGAATTCTTAAAAATACATGCTCTTTATGTTGTTAGATATGCTAACTAAACTTGTATGAGGAAGAGAGCTTGGAGAGAGAGATTAGGACTGACATTTTGATTTGTGGTTACTGGATACTAATCATGGTATGTTAAATTTATATATAAAATTATTTTAGAGATCTTATTTTTTAAGCCAGTGATGGAAAAATATTTTTCTAATTCCATGTGCTTCATGCAATTATAAATGTAAAAATACCCTTTGAAATTCACTAGCTTTTCATGAAGTTGTCTTGTGAAGCTCTGATATGCTTTCTGTATATTTTTATATTTCCTCTTTTAATGTGAAAAATTGCACATACTTAAGGCATCTTAATACCTACTGATCTCATTGTACTCTGCAGCAATCCTGTGACTGTTTTATCACAAATGGTGAAGGGAATACATACATGGAGTACAGTATTGCTAAAAAAATAAACATAAGTTCTCTTGAGAACAAAATAATATTAAAAAAGAAGAAAAGTAGAACCCAAGATTGTCAAATAGCAGGAGTTCTTCTGAATGATTAGACTACTTTCAGAAAGACAACAATATATTTTATAATGTCTAGGAATGTAATTTGGAAGATATAATTTATAGAGAGATTAAAGGATTTGCAGGTTTTGTTTATAGACATTGAAAATGATAGTTCAGCTGTGCAACGGCATTCTTCCCAGCTTAAATGTTTTTATTACAAAAAGAAGAAGTGCAGTTCCTGCCTGTACCTCCTGTATTTTTGACTTTTAGTGGTACTTTATGTTATTTGTGTGAACTATGAAAATAGTCATGTAGTGACCCTATCTTCACATACACCCTAAAACATATTGAAAATTGTTATTGTTGTTTAAAGGAAGCCCTCGAAAAAAAAGCCCTCCTGATGGCTGAGCATATGATTGTAAAACTCCTGTTGTTGAATGACATCTCTTCTCCAAGAAGTTGAAGTGCCAATGTTGGCCAGGGAAGATCAAATTGACTAGGATGGCTCTAGTAAAGCTTTCCTGTGACTAGCACAAAAAAGAAAATGACAGGCTTTTCACTGTCATGTATCTCTAAAGTAGATTTCTGTTGCTTTGGTTTTTTGGAGTCTGTTTCTGTTGGTGTCCTCCAGCTTCAGCCCTGACCAGGACTCACCAGCTCACAGGAGGTCCTTCAGAAAATCCCCTATCAGGGTACCTAAAGGAACACATTTTCAGTGAAGTCAGGCCCAAAAGCATGTATGAACTAGACATCACAACATTTTCCATCCACAGATTTTAAAAGGATGGGTGCATCCCTCAGCAGTACCAGGTGGATTATTTTCTGGACGGTGGGCATAGCAGCCAATTTTCTTGCAGTGATTGTTAATGCTGGCACTTTCCACACATCTGGGTATCGATCTGCTCCACTGTCTGACACTCTGCTCTGCTGGATGAAGGATTGCCTTTCTGCCTTTGGAGTGTTCATTGCTGCTGAGGTATGTTTCATGGATCTTCAGTCCATATGAGATCATATCTCACTGGAAAATAAGTACTCTACCAACAAGCTGACTCACTCTCTCAGCTGGAGAGGTGATGTGCCAGTGTCTGGGTCAGTAGAAGTTTGTTATGACTGAAAACCAGGTGTAGTGATGGGTATGTGAGTATGGTGTGGAGCTGCTAGTTCTTTTGAGAAGCAGATGTGAAGTTTTCATGGCATGCAGCACCCTCTCCTCGCTTTGCTATGGCTAGTTACTGGAGATATTGCTGCCTGAGAAACACTGTACTCACAAAATTACACCTAGAGGTACATTGACTGTGCTGATCATTAATTGTTTTTTATGGATCACCAATCTTCTTCAGTATGAATAACACAGAGTCTTAGGGGAAAATGTAAAATCTTTGGAAGATGCTGATCTGAAAGAGAGAAGGGAAGCAGATTTTATGTGAAGCACCTGGATAGGTGTTTTGTCTGAAGTACAGTGAGATGCAGGAGAATTTTTGTTTTCTTTAAGTGAGACCTGTTCTTAAAAGACCAGTTGCATAAATGGTTTGAAATACATTTTGGGGACTGAATACTTTCTATGGAATAAATACATATTTGCTAGGTTTTCTCACCAGCATCAAGTAAAAGGCATCCTCTAATCATAATTTTAAATAGGATGGGTTTTCTTGTGATAGCTGGCTACCCTCTCATGATTTTAAATGTGCCCTATGAATAGAATGACAGTATCTTGTTGAAATGGAGACTGCATCCTGGCTTGAGGGTCACTCCAATACAGAGCCAATGCTTCCAGAGATGAGTTGCAATGCTTTTTCTCTATATATAAATTTCTAGATCAGAGTATATTTTAATTAGTTCAAAACTAAGGGTTGAAGTATCTAACATGAATTATTCCTTTAGTTCTTCTCATATTGTTCTCTTTATTTTCTTATAGCAAAATTTTGGGGATCCCCACAAATACCAAAAATGGTTATCACAAGGTAATGAAGCTGATGTTTAATTATGCTGTCAGGCCTTTAATTTAATATCCTGAAGATGCTGAGACCGTCCTGAAGACAGGGATTTTTAGCTGGTGATTGCAATTAGTTGCAATTAGTGTGTGAACTGTGAGTGGCTAGTCCTGAAGCCCCATCACACTCCGGGCTGTGGGACAGGAGTGACTCTGGTGTTCCTGATCCGGCTTTGCCCTCTGGTGGTACCCGCTTGAAAGATTCTCTGAGCTCGAGAGAGATAAATCCTCTAAAGACCCTGAAAAGAGCTAGAAAAAAAACACAGGTGTGTGTGATGGATGTAAAAGTACACTAAAAGAAGGAAAGGTCTCGCAGACATCAGTGCTGTGGATGCCAAAGATGATGCTAAGGAAGTCAGAGGCAGAAAGGTTCAGTGCTCCTTCATCAAGGTAAGCCTGACAAGAAGGAGTTTTTCTGACACACAGTTCCTCGCTGCTCTGACCAACCCTTTGACATGAAACACTTGAGAAATATCATAAGTATTGTCTTATTGAAGCTCAGTCCTTTTCCTGATTGTGAGGACACACCCTGAAAAGACTGTCCTATATCTTGGTAATAGAGAATTGTGGATGAGGAAAATGGTTTATGACCAACACTTGAGCAGACGTGGGCAGGACGGTGAGGAGAGAAAATCAAGACAAATACTGAGACCTGCAAGACCCAGACAAACACTTTGGCAATTGGGATTTGGTTTGGAAAGCCAAGCTAATTCTTTCCACTGCAAATACCTATACCCCTCTATCTGTAAAACCCCTTGCCATTTTCTTTAGCCTTGTTCTTTCAGTTCTGCAGGTTATTGTATAAAATAGTGTAGGAACAGTAAATTCCCTAGTAGGATCACTTAAGCTTAGTGATCATTTCCACATCATAGTTTAAGACATCATCCTGCATATTTTACCAAAATATCTAAACAAAGAATTCTCACAGTTCCCTGCTGTTGAAAAACAGA